AGCAGGCGAAGCCAGTCGCTGTCCACGTACCGCTTCCATCCAGAGGACGGGGAAGAACATGTCGGGGAGGTTCTGTGTGTACAGGACGTCCGGAACCGGGCCGATCTTGAAGTTGATCTGCACGCGGATCTTGGCCTTCATCGATACACCCACGCGCTGAAAATCGGCTGAACATCAGCGGGGCACAGGTAGGTAGTAGGTAGTGCCAACCGTACACGGTTCAGACAATCTGGGACAAGAAGCCGGCTTACAAAGTGAAACCACCCGGTATCATTTGAAAAGACATAAACATGCATTTAGACCACAAAATTTTAAGCTTTTCAGGTCGAGTGTTATGTGGTTATTGGGAATTGCCGCTCATCATATAACATCCTACAAAATGACGCTGTTAATCTTCGGCACGCTGCTTAAAATGAAATGGCAGCCAGCTATCGTCATTTGTTGTGACGTATGTCGTTACAATTGTCGGGGCCTCTGAGAAACTTAATCTAAAACCGAGAAACTTAATTTAACTTAGCAACACTGGTGCCGCCATTGCGAATCATGCCGCGAGTCATAATTCGCATGTGGATGTTTGTAACATAATATCGAACACACCCTTGGGTTCCACGTACCAAATCTGAAAACGTGCGTGCTTCGAAACATGTGAGCATAAGCGTTGTGCGAGGGGACCCGTCACATGTGAGCCACTGATAACTCAGCAGATCAGCACATGACGCCAATACACAACCAGCCCACGCTAGGGCTAGCGGTGTGGACGAACCGGGGGGTGAGCGGCAGGCAACGGAAACCGGTCTGCTGGATCCGAGCCCCGAAAAACCCGTCCGACCCAGTTTTCGCCGGCCCGTAAAGTCAATGGCCCACTAGGCCACTGATGTGCGTTTCGAATTTTAGCCTGCTGAGCTGTCGGCCGTCTGTCTGATGTCTGTCTTTGCTGGCCCATTTTCAGCAGCGGCCGAAGCGCCGGTAGGGTCCTATCTAGTGGGCAGGATTGGTCTGTTGCAGTTGTGCGAGCCCGCTCGGTGTGGACCGCGACCACACAAGCGCTGCTTCTCTTACCGGCACAATGTCCACGAAGAACTGGTGCTTCTCTTTACTGGGCGCCAGGCCGTCCACCTTGGCGGGAATGGACGGGTCGGCCAGGTAGAAGTGAGGGAATGATATGAACGTCGGAGATCCTGCAACCGAGGTCACGCGGGGGTAACGTAAATCACGAAATAAGCACCAAAACATTGCTGTCCTGAGAAAGCATCCGCGATTTCGGCCACAGCGCGCAGGCGACCTGACGCGACGGGGACAAGCCACGAACAAAAGCCGGGGCATTACGTTTACAATTCTCCCGCGAGATAGCCTCCAACCGAACCGTGGCGTGAGCGAAGTGGCCGGTCTCGTAGTCGACCCCTGCCGCCCACCACCCAATCTTCGACGGCCCCCTCACCCCAGCCAATGGTTGTTGATCGCTCACCGTACTGGCACACTGATATGTTGAAGAGGCCCTTGGGCGCGCAGGGCGGGCCGCCGACGCAGTAGCACATGTTCTCCGGCTTGGTGTCGACGCTGTCGAACACGTCCTCGGGTGGCGTGTAACGCAGCGTGCGCACGCCGCTGTGCATCACGTGCTTCTCGAACAGCAGCGGCATGCTGCGGCAGATGTCGCGGGCGAACAGGTAGACGGTGGTGTTCTCATCGCCGCCCGGCGGGTAGACGGTGCCGTCGCTGCCGTTCACCATGTTGCACTGTCGGGTGTTCCAGAAGGGCAGCGTGCGCGAGCCGTCGTAGCGTTCGATCATGCCGATGCGCCGCCAGTCCGACTGGCCCGTGTTGATGAGCATGGTCTTCTCGACCGAGTTGTTCTTCTGCGGGGCGACCGAACGGATGTTAAGGACAGTGTGCAACTAACCAATATTGGACAACGCGCCTGAGGGACGGAAAGGTCCTGAATCAGCTACCTCCGGGTCACCGGACTGTCCTGTGAACCATACGCCTTCTATCAGTGGTGGGTTGTCTGTCCTAACCAGTCTTTACCCAGCTCTTCGTTAGAGCGTCGTTTTAGTAGAAAAGATCAGAAGGGCAATTCACATATGATGTTGGCAAATAAGCTTCAAAACTGCGACGATATCATGATCTGGTCTTCACGCGTTAACTGAAAAGCGTTCCCCTATCAACAGTATATAACTCGCAGCAAGCGCTGCGATTTACACTATATATTCTTGTAGAAGCTGCATATTGTCTTTGAGCCCATGCGGTACGACCCAGATATGTAAGCACTACGTCGAAGAAAAAAAAGAATTTTTTTCGGACGGCACAAAACAACATCCAGCGTGTACAGCACCGCCTCCAACAGTCATGGGCCAGGACAACTCCGTCGCCTTTCAAAGCTACGGCAATTCATTACAGTCGCATTGTCCATACAAAACGTAACATTCAGCCATGGGAGTGGTAATCGTCTGCGCCAACTGAGCAGCATCGATTCGAGTTCACGACAGAACGCTTTGCAGCTGTTGCCGAGGAGCTTTGTAACAGAGTCGAACGCTGCAGGTCAGCACTGCACGCGGACGGGGCACACACCTGGCACCGACAGGTCCCAACAACACTTTCTGTAACACCTTGTACAAGCAACACATCAGGTTCGTGGCATTGCGTGTGTTAGTGACTTTGAAGAGGCGTACGCCGTGCAAAATTAGTCTTGTTGCCTATTGGAGTGCTGTCGACTGCGTAATGGACGGTGAGAAATGAGGCGTCCGTGAGCACTCACCTATGCGTGAGTGCTCGGCTGTGATGGATCACAACCTTGGCCGCTAGAGGCCATGGCAGCGCAGCCACTCACTGGAACATTGTTCCTTATAGCGTCATCCACACAGTCGTGGCGGAACTGAACAACCCGTAGGGCTCGTTGAAAAGGCACATCAGCCAGAGTCGTGACGATCAAGCCACCTAATCATAGGCATTACCAGCGGTTGTCATCTACTGCGACGCTGTTGCAAAGAAGCTCCGCTGAAACTATACTGTGCCCTACACTGCACCCGCCGTCGGACTCCCGTCGCGTACCCAGTCACAAAATACCCGCACCTCTCCACGAGGCCGCCTGGCAACGGAAAGACAGCCACACTCGCCACTTGACGCCGCTCGGTCCATCTCGAGCCTGGCGTTATCAGAGGCTATCAAAGACGAGTGTCTACACGGTGAGCCCGGTCACCCCGCAGCGGGTACTTTCATTTATCGCGGTGCACGGCTCCTCAGCGCAGCTGTCGGCGTCCGACTGCACAGGGACGGGATGCCTGGTCAGACCAGCTCCGGAGCCCTGACAGCGGTTACATGGCAAGGTAAAGGACGAGAAGTCAAATGGCAAGAAAGTAAACGGCAAGAAGTCGGGCGGGATGAAAGCAAATGCAGTAACTCAAGAGACAAAATTTGAGGAGGATACAGAGCCAAATGACAAAAGCTCGAAATGGTGAAAATCAGATGCAAAGTCAGACCGGCAAAAAAGGCAAAAGTGATAAAGACAAAGGGATAAAAGTAAAAAAAAAATCCGGATGTTTAAAGCCAAATGCAGACAGTGAAAAGAAAAAGAGGTCGAAAGATACAGAAATCAAATGAATGAAAGCAAAGCAGGATGTCAATCATAGCATCATATCCTGGACAGGGTCATGGTTTAAATCCACAAAGGGGTCTCTAAGTGGTCTTACAATCCACTAGGGGGTCTCGGTCAGCTGCTCGTCCAGCAGAGCGGGGGCTCGGAGGGGAGGGAGGGGGGAAGGAGTCCCAACTCCGTTCAGCCAGCGGCCCCTTGCCAATTAACGGTCCTGTGAACGCACGGAAGACGCAGCGCGGTTCCGGATTTGGACTGGAAGAATCCCCCCCCCCCCGCTCGATGTAAGGTGCCTTGACGCGTGATGGTTCTGGGTCATGATGTCTTTTAGCTTATCTGCTTTGAAGGCCCTCAAGCTTAGGACATAATCGTTACCACGTATTTTGGGCTGGGGGCATAATTTTTCAAGGGTTTCGAAGGTCAAATGGATCCACCTAGCAGATGGGGGGGGGGGGGGAGGCAGGGCACCTGGTAGTGACTTTTCGGATGCGGCTAGTTTTCTCGGGCGCGTCAGCTCGGATGCGGCCAGTAACTCGGGCGTGTTAGCTCGGCCTGGCCGGTTTGCTCCGGCGCGTTAGCTCAGATGCGGCCAGTAACTCGGGCGCGTTAGCTCGGCCTGGCCGGTTTGCTCCGGCGCGTTAGCTCGGGCGCGGTCGCACGGCACCGGGCGCGCCGCGGTCCAGAGCTCAGCGCCGGTCGGCCGAGCACGTGTCGGCCCGGCCCAGCCCGCCGCCGCCGCCAAAGAGCCGGCAGGAAGGCACGCAGACGAGCACCGCCGCCGGGCGGGCTGCTCGGCGCCAAGGTCAGGGTCAAGGTCAGGGTCACCCACGCCGTCCTCGCCGGCGTTTGCTGCGTGTCAGTCTCAATCAGTGCCGGGCGGTGCCGGGGGCGCCATCACCGCTTACATCGCACGTGACGCTGGACGCGGCCGCAAGCCGCCTGGGGCTTGTGTCTGTGAGCATGCGCTGCACCGCGACACTGCGAAGACCTACTCGCATAAAACGAGATTCCTAGCAAAAATGCAAGCTCGGATGTGTTCACCGGGAGCGTATTTTCGCAAAAAGAATTGGAGGGGAGGGGCGTTCAGTTGGCAGGGGGAAGTGTTAAGTAGACAGTGGCGAAGCCTATCCCGAAAACTATGCCAACATACGGCGTTCTCCTCGACTTTGACCCACGTTCTTCCCAAGGTTGACAGAGGGCGGGATCCCCTCCCAAATGAATAGGGAGCTACACTCCTGGTGGCCACGCTTGGGCGGCACGGGAGGGGGCATTTTCATCTATATCAAACAAATATCTTTGTCTCGTCCAAATATTATGGCAAGATTTGGTTTCGCTTTACGCCATCATACATTTAATTTTCCCCAAAATCTGCCTAATGTGATGTGTTAAGATACTCGTTAACGCTTGTTACGGATTTTGAAGACAGCTAACATGATTTGCGCAAGTAACAACACACTCATTCCAGCACACATTGACGTAGATCCCATTAGGTAGTCCACCCAACAAATCTATGGTCAAAATAGCTCGTGACAACGTGGCGTCACAGGTAGCATCATTCTGCACATATGTGCGCCATTACGGCCAGAAAGTAGAAGAAACGGCCACTCCACCACATCAATGAGCTCTTCGATCTACTTTCATCAACTGGAAATCTTGAAACTCTCAACACATCAACGCATACCCGGTAATTTCACGGACCCATTCTGCACACACAACCACTGGTGATTTTAAAGGAGAACCGGTGCAAGCCGGAGGTGTGCCAACAAAATTTCTAACACAAATACTACTGACGACAGAATTTTCCAAAGAGCTCTACACGGCATTACATCCAGTGCAAAGACTTCTAATACATGACCTTCTACACGACGCAACTTTTAACATAAGAACTTCCATACAGCATTTCTTACACGCGAAAAAACTTCTAATGCAAAAACTTCTACGTAAAATTACTTGCAATACAAAACTTTCAGTGACAAATTTTCTAACGAAAAACTCTGATGCGAAACTTCTTCCACGCAACACATTGTTTAACGCAAGACCTTATGCGCAACATTGCCCCTTAAGCGAACACTTCTAACGCGCTTCTAACTTCTAGCATTCCATGTGATTAAATTTCAATTTTTCAAATTTCAATTTCAAATTCAAAAATTCAAAATTCAATTTCAAAGCTTCTAAGCGGCAGTGCTTCCACGCGATCTCACTTCTAACACACAAGTTATATGATCGATTACCTCTGATTCAAGAATTGATAAGGCCTACACTTCCACACGACACACTTATAGTGTAGGAAACTGAACGCAATCCGTATGGAACAAATAGCTCGAGACGTTGGCGCATGACCAATGTGACGCATGCCCAGGTGACACACGACAGCATCACATGACTTGCTAAATCGGGAGGCATCATCCCAGCCAGTTGCAGATACAATGGGGATAAAGCTCCTTCGTGGTTCGGGAGCCCACAGCCGACCTGAAAGGCCTAAAAGGTTCCAAGGACCGGCCATGGTTTTGGGGTCCTTGAGATATTATGGGGCCCGTCTGTCAGTCAGGGGTCCCGGAACTGAGATGGTGACCCCGTTTGTTAACAGGGGCCCGGCGCTTGGCTACCCACATGCCCAACAGGACCAGTGCCACGACCCAAGTGCATGAGAGAGCCGCTTCCGGCCTCGCTCAGGGGCCTTCGATTCATTGAGGGACCCTTAATCGGTCAAGGCGTTCATTATTGAGTAGGACACTGAACAGGAGATCTGTTCAGTTGCCGTTGACCCCCGACACTGAGTGTGGGATTCCCGACACTGGAAAGGGCTTCATGCCGGCCAGAACCCCAGCAGCCAAACAGGGGGAGAGCTACGGCCCTACGAGTTCTGTCGAAGTGACTCCTCTTGAGTCACTAGGAGGGCCCGTGAGGTAATGAGGCCCTCTGGTCAGGCGCCCGGCTCCGGAGACAGCGACCCCCCCCCCCCCCCCCGACAGGGTCCGATCTCGGAAACAGGGACAGAGTCAGGGTCCGCTAATATCAGTTACATGACTCTGTCTCTGTCTCTGTCTCTGTCTCTGTCTCTGTCTCTGTCTCTGTCTCTGTCTCTGTCTCTGTCCTCTGTCTCTGTCTATGTCTCTGTCTCTGTCCTGTCTCTGTCTCTGTCTCTGTCCTCTGTCTCTGTCTCTGTCTCTGTCTCTGTCTCTGTCTCTGTCTCTGTCTCTGTCTCTGTCCTCTGTCTCTGTCTCTGTCTCTGTCTCTGTCTCTGTCTCTGTCTCTTGTCTCTGTCTCTGTCTCTGTCTCTGTCTCGGTCTCTGTCTCTGTCTCTGTCTCTGTCTCTGTCTCTGTCTCTGTCTCTGTCTCTGTCTCTGTCTCTGTCTCTGTCTCTGTCTCTGTCTCTGTCTCTGTCTCTGCTACTGTCTCTGTCTCTGTCTCTGTCTCTGTCTCTGTCTCTGTCTCTGTCTCTGTCTCTGTCTCTGTCTCTGTCTCTTGTCTCTGTCTCTCTCTCTCTCTCTCTCTCTCCTCTCTCTCTCTCTCTCTCTCTCTCTCTCTCTCTCTCTCTCTCTCTCTCTCTCTCTCTCTCTCTCTCCTCTTTCTCTCTCTCTCCCGACCCAGTAGTCCCTGCGTTACCAAAAGGTTCGGTTCCTGTACCGCACCAGACGGAGTTTTCCGTGTCAACCAGGGATCCCACTAACCCAGCAAACATGTGATTAGGGTCCAAGAACGTCGACCAAATAGCGTCCTGCGTCGCTCAGATGACCTTGAGATAGGGGTGAGGTTTTCTTTTCAGTTGGATGGGCTCCAGGCCCCTCAAGAAAACTTGAGGGGCCTGGAGCCTCTCTCTCTCTCCCGACCCAGTAGTCCCTGCGTTACCAAAAGGTTCGGTTCCTGTACCGCACCAGACGGAGTTTTCCGTGTCAACCAGGGATCCCACTAACCCAGCAAACATGTGATTAGGGTCCAAGAACGTCGACCAAATAGCGTCCTGCGTCGCTCAGATGACCTTGAGATAGGGGTGAGGTTTTCTTTTCAGTTGGATGGGCTCCAGGCCCCTCAAGAAAACTTGGCTACAAGCCTCCAAACTTAATAACACAGTCGGCCGAATCCGGGGAGAGTTCCGTTCGTTGGCGTATTTTGGGGTAGTTTGCGTAACTTGTCATTGTTCAGTCCCCACTCCGCGTCCAAGCTCATTGCGCGAAAATATGCGCCTACCTTGAGACAACGAGAGGGCTATTTTCTCGTTCTGGCCTACCGGTAAAGCTTCCAGTCGCATGCCCTGATGGTGGTAGTGAGCAGAGTACCCGAGTACGGAAAAAGGGAACCTAGTCCTCGCAGCGATGATGAAGAAGCTCTGTCGGTGAGCAAGCAAGCGGCTCGTACTTCGGTGCACACCGCCCAGACGTTCAATGGAAGCCTATTGAAGTCATTTGCGTTAGAGGCTCTGGCATCAGAAGTTTTTTTCCGCAACGCAGTTTATGCGCTGGAGTTCTCGCATTAGCAGTGATGTCGTGTAGAACTCCTGGCAATGAAAGCTTTGTTTCATTGTAGAAGTTTACGCACTAGAAGCTCTTGCATTAGAATCCACGTCGTGCGGAAGCTTTTGCTTTACAAGTTCTGTCGCGTAGAGGTTTTTGTGTTCGAATAGTCGTTAGAAGTAATTGCGTCAGAAGCTTTGTAGTGGAACTCATGTCGGACGGGCAACCAATGACGTCAAATCACGACAGCTGCTCGCAGACCAAGGTCAATGAGAAACCCTATCGCGACAGGCCACTTCACGAAAAATAATCAACAACTGGACGTGTTCGGAGCTGAGCAAGAATTTCTTGCCCGGTCAAAAAACTTCCACGCCTGGGGTGTAGTTTCTCATCCAGCTGGAAGGGCTTCAGCCCTTCTCCTTGGACTCTAGCCCCCCCCCCCCCCCCCCCCCTCCTCCTCCAGCTTTGAGAAGGAAGTGGGCCAAATCCAGCAGATAATTTTGTTTTTGGCTATATAAGGAAAAGGTTTCGCTATCGCTGTTTTCCACTGCTCAGCCCCCCCCCCCCCCCCAAGTCATGTTGCGGAACTACAACCCTGCTTCAAGCTCATCATACATCGAACGCTCGCCAAAATTTGACGCAGACAAATACAGAACACAAGGCACAAGGCTTGCTCATTTCTGCCTGTTTCATGACATCACACCAAGAACCCTGTTTGCGCAGCTCGGTAAAGGATTTGATAGCCCGTACACCACATTTCCAGACTGTAAACTGTTATCATAACCATCCAGGCGCCCGCCGAACTCTTGGCCTAACGATTTCCAGACCACACACCACCTCGCGTGGCAACATCGATTCGCAACGCAGACAGGGCTACCATGTCGCCCCCGTCACGTGGCTGCACGGCCGCGGCGGCCAGGCCTACAGCAGACCCGCTAGCCGCCTCTCCCGGCGCTTGATTCGCTGATGGTCTGGTTCAAAGTCCACTCGTGGAAGGTCGCTGGGACGCGCGGCCGCCGGGCATCCTGTCTAGGCGGCGCGGCTGCTCAGTACAGCGTGTCTGACGCGAAAAGGGTGATGATTCGGCGAAGGATCGGGGGGGGGGGGGGGGCGAGCAACCACGCGATTGCACATTAGGGCAGCATGGGAGACGCGAAAGCAGAAACAGAACATAAAGAGAACTCCACACAACATGACGGGACTCGTGCGGGCTCTAGACATGCTGACAGCGCGCGGTCTCGCTCCCAGCCCCGCAGTCACCGGCCCCGTGAACGCACGCAGACGATACCAGCCGTCCTCACGACAGGGCGTCGATTACGTTCGCATTCTTTTGCCCCTCCCCACACTTGCTGCTTTGGGCCTTCCAATGTTTTCAGGTTCCTAGTGTCTTATGTTGAAAAAATTGAGGAAGAGGTTAAATGCTATATAAAACCTTTCTTCATTAGACAATATTTGACTGCACGACCACTATGCTGCTGAAATAAGGTATTTTATGACTCATGACACGGCAAATTAAAACAGAACATGCCGTACGTCAAAAAGTGGGCTAGATCCGTCTGGAAACGCGTGTTTGGGGAGGTGGAGGCGGCGGGCTCCTGACCCCCTCCCCTCCCCCACCAGTCAACTAAACGAATCGACACGCCGGCCTGCGGGTCAGCGTGGGTGACGTCTGGGGCAGCAATGGGCGGGGCCGGCTGCAGCCGATAGCGCGACCCTGGCGTCGGGCACCGCGGCGGCGGCTGCAGCCGAAATAACCGGCCAAGTGGCACGGAGAGCCTCGTAGAAGCCAATCACGCCGCGAGGCAGCCGGTAAAAACAACGACAGCCAAACGTCCTGCCGACCGACCGGCCGGCCGACCACTGCCGAGTGGAACCTGACGAAGGTGGGAGGGGGGGGGGGGGGGGACGGAGAAGGGTTACTCAGACGACAAAGGCGTACTTAAGCTAATTGAATGAGGGAAGCAGGAGAAGAGCACATCACGCGTTAGCCGCCGCCAACACCGCGCCGTGAGTGATATGAAAACGCCGCCAACACCGCGCCGTGAGTGATATGAATCCTTTCAGACGCCTTACTGTCCATTGCAATGGCAGACGTGAACTCCCTTCAACGAGCGTACAGAGCATTACATGGGAGCAGAGGCGCGCAACCGCCCCGTGAATCGTGTGAGCTCCACTCCTTTCAAAATAAGGCGTACTTTGCACCCTGTGATGCATGTCGCACTCTCACGAACGGAAGGCAGGCGAGGAAGGGCCCCCGCCCACGTCAACATTCACCGAGTTGTTGTTCAGAGGTACTCTAAGCTCTCCATGACGGCTTCGCACATAGCCTATCTCTGACACCAGTTGAACGTGACTTCTTAGACCTATCGGTACTTAAAACAGCCGAGTATACCTGCGATAAATCGTCATCGCCCATGTGACACCTGAGCATGGATGGAGTACGCGCTGTGGCCTTTGCCACTGCAGCCACATCAACTTTAAAAAACGACATCATCTTGTTATTATTTCCCCACCAAAAGTACCCTTGTGCCGGTTTACCACACCAGCTCTTTCAGCCTTTCCACCTATGCATGCCAATATCTCATCAGTAGAAGTTATCGCGTAAAGAAAGCTTCCACTTACGGCCGAATCGAGGATGAGACAGCTTTCCACCAGCCATATCGAAGCTCGTTTCTCATTATTTCATCATGAAGCGCCACTTCGCCATGCCGATAATGTAACCTGTCTGGTTGGATGAGAACGGAATCTGTTCTCGAGCATGTTACAGGTAAAACGGAACAAACAAAAAACGCACACACACACACACACGTACACACATACCCCGACAAAGTATCCGAAGCTCTCGTAGGGCAGACTCTGGCCGGGCGGCTGGATGTCCTTGGCCAGCTTGAGCAGCGGGTCCCGGTAGCCGTACACCAGCTGGTGCACCGACCTGGTGATGATGGGCGTCTCCTCGAGCACCTCCAGCAGGGAGGAGGTGGTCAGCCGCGCCGTCAGCGGCTGGAAGCGCGCCTTCTCTGCTGCCGACTGTCAACGCGGATACCGGCCGTCACACCGCTGGTCAACAGGGACGTGGACAAGGTATCACCCGCATCCCACCATCAACAGACACGGCCGTCGCATTATTGGTCTCGTTGTTGTTGATTGGGGTTTTAGGGGTTCGCAGACTATTAAGGGCATTTTGCATCCACAGCAGTTGACTACCCAGGTGTGCAAATGGCTAAAACCTTATATTAGTCAAAAATGAACCACAGCTGAGTCGTGGCAAGAGCGCGAGATTCGTGACCAGTAATGTTTGAATAATTAAGAACTGGAGCTCTCGTCTGAAATAGCGTAAACCGCTCTTCGCTGGAATGTTGGGCATGAGTAAATGGTATGGTGGACTGCAAGGGTGCATCGTGGCGAGGGCAGAGTGAAGCCGTTCTTCAACGCACAGAAGATAGCCATGAATCGCGTGTGTGTGGTGTGACCAATCCGTATTCGGCAAAGGACTACCTCTTCTGCTCGCATCGCGTTGAGGCTCGACGACCATATGCCTAGCCGTGACTTGATGGCTTTCGGCTCGGTGTTTGCGGTGACGCTCAATACACGTTGTCATTTTCATTTGCTTAATGCCGTAATGACGGTACAAGTTCCTGGTCCGCAGAAGCAAACTGCGGGTGCAAGGTGCACGCGCTGCTCGTTTTGCCGCCGCGTCAGCGAGCTCATCACCCGCCAAGCCCACGCCGCTGGGTATCCAACATAGGACGACAGCTTTACCCACACGACCCAGTGCTGTCAGGCGAATCGAAATGTCCTACATCATGGTACCCGGCAAACTTCGATGAAACAAAGCGCTTTATTTATGGCGACGAGCTCGGGCGTGTACACAACAAGCTCGGGCGTTTACGCGGAGGCGTTTTTGGGCAACGAAAATGACCGAGTGGCTTGGCCGTTCACAAGCACAGAGCCTACTCCTGTCTCCGTCATCCAGACGTCTGTATATGTGGCTTGCAATTCTGTGCATGTGGGCGATGTGCTCCAAGGCAAGTAACTGAAGATCGGCTGGGACCTCGCGCTGTTTGTTTATGCATGACAGAGAGACACCCACTTTGAGTGCAGTCATTTCCCACGGGGGTACTGGAACGTAACGTGACCTTAGTGCACCACACAAGTTAATGCCGCTGTTACGGAACAGGCCGTTCATTTGCACACCATGGTCTACACGTCGCGAAAAACTGCTCGAAGCGTTGGATGGTTTACGACCTGTGCCAAGTTGGAGGTGCACCGCATTCCCAGTATTCCTCTCCTGAGTGACAACGGCAGCTCATTTGCTTCCACTGCAAGACTAGATATCGGTGACGCGTTCTAAGTGCCCCGGTCCCGACGCGCAATGCAATGTGATGCCGTCGACTGTCGACTGTCACACGACCGGCTTTCGCACTGCCGACCTCTGACGGTCCAAAACTTCTGTCCGGAGTTAGCAGACCGCCCTCTCGACCTTAAACCGCCGACCCCCCCCCCCCTCGACCCCAGCCGAACGTGGCCTATCAATCGTCCGAGTCTGAGAAAACAACCAACACCCTGGAGCATTGTGCGTGAATTACTCCGAACTGTCTCCCCGAAGGATGCGGGCACCCGGCCGGCCACAGGTGACCAAAGCGCACGTAAGCGTAGACTGCGCAGGGGACAGTCCCACGTTGAGGAATCAACGATGGTCGCGCATACATTGTGTCGTTTTTGCGAGGATCTGCAGCATGCCGTTGTTTGGCCTCGGTCGCAAAACCGACCGATGATCTTGCAGTGATGTTGACTAAAGCTAGCCCGGCGTAAACAAGCCCTGGCGAGCGAGGGTAGGCACGCGACAAGGCGTGAGGCACGGCACAGATCAGAGACAAAGGGTATGGTTGGAAGCGCTGAAATAGTCGCTGCAAGACCGTCACCGAAAACAAAACGCACTGCAGCTGTCACCTGCACCAACACATCCAGCGGAGTTGGAAGTGCTCCCCTGTCTCCACATCGATCAGATACCGTGCCAGTCGCGGCTGCCGCCTGCCAAGCTGCGAGAGTGACGTACAATCATGGGTACGTTGAGCGTGGTGATGAGGTCCGTCTCCGGTCCGGACGAGTCCTCCCGAATGAAGAACAGCTTGGTGAAGAGCCGTGCAGACAACGTGCCGTTCGGGTGGAACGTGATATTGCGCCGCTCCCACTTCTGGCTGGAATAGGGCAAGGTCCGATGAAGACACGCCATCCAAAGACGGAGCGCCTGAACACGTAATAACTGGGCAGAGGGCAGACACACCACATGAACATGTAGCAACTGGGCAGAGGGCAGACACACCACATGAACATGGAGCGACTGGGCAGAGGGCAGACACACCACACGGGCATGTAACAACTGGGCAAAAGGCAAACGCACCACATGAAAATGCAATAACTGGGTAGGGGGCAGACACGCCACATGCACGTGTTCAAACTGGGCAGGGGGCAGACTCATCACATGAACAGAACACCCGGGGAAGCAGCCTCTCGTGCCAATCATCTGATGATGGTTATATTTGGGGGCACGTCGACTACAGCGGTCATTTGGCGCCCACTACCGTATCACGTGTCCGTCTGAAATGGCATTTCTGGACTCTCTGGACATTCTAAAATGGACTTCATGGAGAAAATCTGAGCATCGTCTGCAGAGGGGTTTGTTTAGGGCACTGCTTGGGGTAAAAGGAAGCCAGATCCGGTTCACATCTGGTGCAGTTTTCCGTAACACACGGTGCAACGGCTCAAAGTTGTATCGTGCAATATTTATGACATTTAATGGGAGATGTTCGATCAGCCAAGGCGGTACCGGACAAAGTAAAATGAACAAAATATCGATGAATTTCGCGCCAAGAGTGGTGTCACCGCCTACGACCGTTTTGAGTTGCATCGTGTCACTTTTGAGTGTAAGCCATCATGGAGTATATAAATAAATAAAAGTAAAATATAAAATAAAAAAACAACAAAATATATGGGGCTTCGAGATTTAATGTGGCAGCGGCGCGAAAAGCAGTTTTCTTCCACGCAGCGGCGGAGGCGCGAACCAATATTCGTAGTCGGTCATGTGCTCCGGGTTTAAGCCACCGTCCAACCGCGTTTGTTTTTGTGTACGTGTTTTTTGGGACTTTTTTAATTCTTATCAGATCCCGGCAGCCAAAGCAGACCACTGCATCGACCACACGTTGTAGCCAAATGCACCATCTGCGAATAGTTGACGATAATAGCACACTCAGAACCATGGCAACATCGGTAATCAGCCAGCAAGCCCCCAACACCACCTTTTAAGCCGGTCTTGGATAAGATCAGCTGTAGCTTGAAATGAGAGCGACAGAATCATGCAATCTCGCTGCCGCTGATATACAGGCTACCACGAGTGATCTCAGGTGTACGGGAGCTGAAATATGGCATTGACGCCCGAAATTTTTGTTGTTGTTGTTCATTGGAGTTTTCGGGCGCGTCGACTGCAGTGGTCATTTTGCGCCCATAACTATGCTGTTAATTAGTACGGTGTGAAAATGACTTGAAAATCAATATCTTTTAAAAACGAAAAGAGCTGTTTGGGACCAAGAAAGGAGGAACTGTCACCAAGCACATCGTTTATCGTCAGGGTCGAAGCCTGTGAACCAAAGTGACGTCGTCGTTCTTCGAAGAGGCATGGACATGATATAATGACATGATGGACAGTCAGGACGGCACCACACCGCTGGCATAGGGGTCTGTCGGCTCCATGTAACAGATGGCCATGGGTGGCATAGGTATGCCCAATGCGCAGCCTGCATAAAACCACCTCTTCCCACCGCACACTGCGAGAGCATGACGACCACAAGCCCAACTCTGTCTTTATTGCCCTGAGCTTATTGCCCCCCACCTGGTCCCAACAGCGCTGCAATCTGCTTTTCAGGAAGGTCTTGACTGCCGGGTAAAAATCTCTGGCAGGGATAGGCAAAAACCGGGTATATGGTGCTACCGCTGCTCGCTTAGCAGCGGCATCAGCCAGTTCGTTGCCCACGATACCGACGTGACTAGGGATCCAGCATAGTGCAACTCTCTTTCCAACCCGATTCAATTGTGTCAGGCGTGATAAAATGTCCTGTAAAAGGGGACATGATGGATAAAAAGACTTCAGTGCAGAGAGACTGCTCAGTGAATCTGTAAAAATGGCGTGTGAAGATTCTTCACCCACTTCTATGAAACATATCGCCTTGGTGATTGCAACTAATTCCGCCGTAAAAACTGACGAGTGGGCCGGTAACGAGAACGATCGAGTGACGGACCCGCTAACGAAAGCACAACCCACGCCATCCGAGGTTTTGGATCCGTCTGTGTATGTCAGGGTATATCCTTCATAACACGCCAAAAGCTCAACTGCCCTGGATCTCAATAAGTGTGGTGAGACGTCTTTTTTCCTAATTTCCGTAAGTGAGGTGTCAATGAAGGGTGTGGTCATTTGCCAAGGAGGAGAAGCCAGGCGGCTTACTTGCCTTACACCCCGAACAGGAATTCCGCTCTCAAGCAATAACGCTCTCATTCGGGAACCAAAAGTTAAAGCGTGCTGCTGCGGCCCATGACGAAGAGAACTTACTGCAAACCGCGAAAATATTGCAGAATATGTCGGGTGACGTGGGAACTGCCGCAGCTTCAAGGCATAACGCATGCCAAGCATTTTCCTCCTCGTCGAAAGTGGTGGTTCGTGTGCCTCCGTTAAAAGGCTGACGGAAGGTGATGTGCGAAACGCCCCAGTAGCAATGCGAATGGCAGTATGGTGGACGGTATCAAGAACACGCTTGCTGGATTCAGACGCGCCATCATAAACAAAGCATGCATAATCCAGTTTGGAGCGGACGAGGGAACGATATAAAAGCATAAGCGTGCTTCTGTCTGCCCCATACGCTGTGCGAGACACAAACTTTAGTATGTTGAGAGATTTAAAGCATCGATCGCGTAACGTTTTAAGATGTGCGTTATATGTAAGGCGGCGGTCAAAGTGTATCCCAAGATACCTGGCCACGGCCTTATTTGGAATAGAGCGACCATATAGACGGATGCTCAGATCATCACATCGCTGGCGACGACAAAAATGCATCGCAACGGTCTTGTCGCCTGAAAAACGAAACCCGTTCATGTCACCCCCATCTTTCAACGCGGTCCACAGCCAGCTGGAGACGCCGCTCCATCGCTGGTGCTCTCGCTGCACTGGTCCAAATAGTAAAATCGTCAACAAAAAGGGCACGTCCGACCGACTGTGGGAGCACATCACAAATATCATTTATCATAACTGCGAACAGTGCAACACTTAACACGCCGCCCTGGGGCACGCCGTTTATTTGTTCGTACCTGTCGGAGAGGACGTTGCCGACCCGAACACGGAAGTATCGTTTGGATAAAAACCTTTGGAGAAAAGCACCCATATGGCCACGTATACCATATTTAAAGAGCTTTTGAACAATACCATGACGCCATGTGGTGTCATAGGCGGCTTCAATGTCGAAGAATACTGTCCCCATATGCGCTTTTTCTTGAAAAGACTTGCGAACCGTGGTGTCCAGTGTTAAGAGATGGTCCACCGTACTACGGTTTTTCCTAAATCCGCACTGCGAGTTACTAAAAATATCGTTGTTCTCTAAAAACCAAGTGAGTCGCACGTTTACCATCTTTTCCATGAGCTTGGACAGTGATGACGTCAGTGAAATGGGTCGGTAATGAAGAGGGTCCAGCCCACTCTTCCCCTGTTTTAGGATAGGCACCACAACAGCTTCCCGCCAGGCCGGAGGGAACTCACCTCTTGACCACACCCTATTGAAGGCCGCCAATAGTGCACGACGTGCACACGGAGGCAGATGTCGGAGCATCTCATTGTGGATGTCATCAGGACCCTCCGATACACTACGAAGTCTTCCGATTGCCGACTCCAACTCCACCAAAGTGAAGGGCTCATTGTACGCCTGTGGTTGCCTTGTAGAAAAGTTCACTACGGTTTTTTCGGATTGTGCTCTTTGCCGTAAAAACTGTGGGCTCATATTTGCACCTTCGCTACGGTGGGAGAGTGCTCGGGCGATCCCGTTAGCCACATCCAACGGATGAGTCACCACCTGGCCGTTAACATGTAACACAGGAAGTGGCACGGATGAAAACTGCCCGGAGATACGTTTGATCCGAGCCCACACCTGCGAAGTTGGTGTGAATCGGTTGAGCGTGCTTACGTACATACGCCAGGATTCACGTTTCGCTTCTTTTATCGTGCGGCGGGCGAAAGCCCTGGCTTTCTTAAAGGCTACTAAATTCTCCAAGCTACTTCTGGCGTCAAAAGCTCGGAAAGCACGTTTGCGTGCGCGAATTGCGTCACGACACTTCTCCGTCCACCACGGCACAGGAGTGCGACGAGGAAATCCAGAAGTGCGCGGGATGTAATTGCTAGCGCAATCTAGAAGTCTGTGAGTAAAATCCTCAATAGAGGGTGCCACCCTCACACCTCCGGTCTGACATAATGTCTCCAGTCGAGCCTCAAACTCTCTCCAGTCAGCCTTTTTAAAATTCCAACGTCGTGGTCTTACACCCAACGTTCCTCTTATTTGGAATCGAAGCCACACTGGGAAGTGATCGCTGCCCATTGGATCATCTCCCACAGACCACTCGAGGCTCTCCACCAGCTCGGGACTAGAAAGACTCAGGTCAAGCGCAGAAGTCTGACCAGACGGCAGTGTAAAATGAGTACGAGTCCCTGTGTTTAAAATACACAGTGACGAGTCACGGATAAAATGTTCGCACATCCTTCCGCGGGTGTTCGTGCTATCACAGCCCCACGCGGTGTGATGAGCGTTGAAGTCGCCTAAAAGAAGACATGGTGAAGGCAACTCATGCACTAAACGTCTCATGTCTTCCAATGGAAAACCGACGCCAGGTGGAAGATATAAAGAACACACCGTGATGTGACGGTGATTAAAATGTAGGCGTGCGGCTACAGCCTGTAGCGTAGACCGCAGGTTAAACCTCCTGGCTGGCACGCTGTGGTGGACTGCAAGAAGGACACCGCCATGTGCGATACCGTCGGTTAACACATCATTGCGAAACAGGGCGTATCCCTTCAGCGTGCAGTGGTGACTAGAAGCAAGCTTGGTCTCCTGCAGCGCTACGGCTGCAGGACAGTGCTCGCTGACGACAGCCTGGAGGTCGAGGGCATTTGCCCTTATTCCTCTACAGTTCCACTGTAAAAAGGCCTGTAAAGGGGGCGTGGTAAAAAGCCGGTTGGAGGTCACATACTAAAACCGGGCACGTCCTAAAAGAACTGGGCTGCGCCAGTTGCAGAAGCAGACTTTTCTGACTGAGAGCCACGGTTGGAATCTGCAGGGAGGTGCCCCACTCTGGGACGAGTTCTGGGGCTCCCGCCGTCAGATGGAGACGGGGGACCGGCCGGGGCACGCTTGACGCCAGCGTACCCGGTCCGGGGTGGCGGCGGGGGAGGGCCCATCGGCGGGCCTCTACCGGGCGTCTGGGGGTCAGCGGGGGCCTCCACTGGCCTTCTCGGCGATGGTGTGCCACTGCGAGGGGTGGGCTCCTTGCTTGCAACGGACAAGCGATTGGCCGTCTTAGCCCTCTCCAACTCCGCTAGGCGGGCCCGCTTGGCGTCGCGGGCGCGCCTGTCCGCCTCATGCCGTTCCATCGTTTCCGCTGCTCGTCCACACACACTCGCCAGCGTTGCCGGAGGCGACGAGGGCAGCGGAGTGACAGACGGCGAGGAAGGCCGAGCCCGCGGACCATGGCCGCGCTTGACCACCGTCCATCCCTCCTCCTCCCCCGCCTGCGACCCCGACGACACATGAAGGTCCGGCGGCACAGCGTTGGTAGAGCAGGACGCAGCTGAAGGACCAGGAGGATCCGACTGGGCGGGGGTCGCCCGCCCCGCCGGCACCACAGACAAACCGAAGGATCGCAGGAGCGTGATGAGTTGGACCGCTGACATGTGACTGATGCTGGTGGACTGTGGTACAGAGGTTTTGGATTTTTCGGCATAAGATACCTTGGGGTGATTAGCCTCATACTGTTCGCGCGCCTCGCGGAAAGAAATGTTCTTTGAAGTTTTGAGTGATATAATTTCTTTTTCCTTCATGAAGGCTGGACAACTTCGATCGAAAGTTGTGTGCGGTACCTGCCCCGTGCCACAGTTCACGCACCAGGGCTGCACAGAGGTACACTGGTCTCCCGAATGCTCGAAAGATGCACACTTCCCACAGACAGCTCGATTGCGGCAGTGTGGTTTTGTATGACCAAAGCGCTGGCATTGAAAACATCGCATCGGATTCGGAACGAAGATCCTGACTTTGACAACTGCGTAGCCAATGCGGATATCAGACGGTAAATCAGGCCGGTTGAATGTCAGTATAATGTTGTTTGTAGGGATTTGGTCATCACCCCTCCTGGTCGTGATCCTACGTGCTGCCGTGACCCCGAAAATTCCCAACTCTTCGATGATTTCCTCCTCGCTGACGTCACGAAGGTCATAGCAGTTTATGATACCTTTTGAGAAATTTTTGGTGTGGTGCGGTGTGACCGTGACCGGCACGCTCACGTCTCGCTTTGCACCCTCGGTTCTCGCGGCATATACAAATTCAGTTACAGTCAAAGCTCGAGTCGCATCGGTGCCGTTTGCGAACTCCACTTCGATCGCGCCGTCCCTCAGCTTGTCACAGCGGGTGACTTTTCCCAACCTGTCGCATCCGTTTCGGCGCTGAAACGGTGAAAGCGATGCCAGGTTCTTCACATCACTCCGAAAGACAAGAACGCGTGGGGCAGGTGGAACCGACTCCTCGCTGCACCCTAAATTCATCGCAGTCCGTCCCCCTCTCGGGGGGCGGGAGTTTTTTGGGTTTGTAGATGCCATGCAAGGTTGTTCTTTATTTCGGCACCGGGGCTCCCCACCCACCTCGGAGCCCAACTGGGGGACGGCCCACTCACCAGTTGGTGGTGGTGCCGCCAGGGCTACCTCGGTGCTATACGGGGCGGACGACGCCTCCCACACGGCCAGGTGTAACCGGGGAGACCCCTCCCCGTCCTGACCGTGGTTCAGCGCCGCCGCCCCTTGACCCCTTAAGCCGCTGCGCGCGGCCAGGCGCCCCAAGCGGAACCCGCAAGGAGCATCCAACCGCGACGCGAGCGACAAGCCGCTAGACCCGTGTGGGGCCCCACGGGCCCCCCGCGCCCCCGGATATCCTGGCCAAAGTGGAGTGTTGGGACGCGCCGTGACTGACCCGCACGACGCGCCCCTCAGCCACCAGGATCCGATCAACCCGGGGACGAGGGCGAGGGGGCACGGCGACCCCGATAAAACGAGGATCAGGAGTGATGAGTGGGCCGGATGCGGGAAAATGGGTAATGGGAAGGGAGCAAGCGGGACAAGGAGAAGGGGCTCACGTACCGGCAGGGTCGCTACGCCCTGAGAGGAACAGCTTGCGCTGTCCACCCGTTACCGGAGCTGGGACCCGAGGGGGCGCTAGTCCCCTACACCGACCGAAGCCGGTGCCCCTGCGGGGACGCCCGAAATTTTAGAGGACTTATCTGCATGTAACATGCTGTATAAAAAAAAAACTGATTATGCGAGTGTGGGCGTGGACGGAAGGGCATTGCTAACTGTGTACCTTAATCGAAGTATACGACCACACATGCACAGAGCTGGTGATGGCGAGTCACGTCGAAGGTTTCTACAAACAGCTGTTGGTGTACGCCCGTGTACAGATGCCACCGTTAATATTATCATAGCCCATGGTGAACTTGAAGTTTGGACGGTTTATCCGGGTTTAGAGGAAAAATGGAACTACTTATCTCATGAAAGCATCTACTGTCCCATTACATATGCACGTCATGCCACTGATAGCTACGTCTCGAGCAAAACGCAGAGGCAGAAAAAATTGCCAAGAAAATCGGATATATCTAAAAAGGACTACAAATAAGCACGATTAATTTCTTGTTCTACTCCGGCCCACGCACACTCTTAACTTACCCAATGACGTAAGGCCCGACCTGCTGCACCCTTGGCTTAGCCGTGCCGTTCAGGAACTCCTCCTTGTTGGTGAGGTTGAAAAAATACACACTCTGCTTGATCTGTACTGGCGGATCTTTCCACGCATGAAAAGTGGGCGAGTCTTCACTGAAGGCTAACATCTGCAAACAGGAGTGTCACATGAGCAATGACATAGATGCCTGTAAGCAGACTGGATGAAGAGCTCCTCTGTCGACGTTTGCCACGCAAATAATGTTATTTTTAGCGCACTTATTATTGATGCAACATTTTACACTGTGTATATTATGTCTGACATTGTCATGTCACCGTCACGTGATCAAGGGGATATCACACGACAATCGCGGCTTTCGACATAAATCCTACCAATTTACTTACGCAATCATCAAAGCCAATGGAGCTGACGCATCATGCATTCCGCGTACATCGCCGTCCTTACAATTAAAATACTTCGTTCTGTTTGCAATTGCAACAGTGAATACCATGACTTCACAAAGACATTTCGTATTCCATGGCGCGAAATTTACATAGTTAACATGGACTGGACGCCTAGGCGAAAAAATTACTTCAGCTTCTTTTATTACAAGATGGCCGAATGTGTAACTTCAGCTATCTGAGAGGTTGCAGCGCAGCCCTACATTTCGTACATAATGTGCGCGCAATCGGGGTGATATGTTTGACAAGCGACAGACGGCGCCGCCGTCTATGCGTAGGATAGTTTGAGGATCACCAAACCGTGACCGGGTCAGGTTTGCAAAGTACAACCGTAACTTGCGCATTTGTAAATTGGGGTAAGTTGGTGAGTGCATGCGCGAGGAACATTTCACACTTACGTAAAATAGTTTTTTAGCTTTATTCCTCGTCGAAAAACCAGGAAAAAAGGGAGATAGATAAAACTGACATTTCGGCTACATGCCTTTGTCAAAACGATCATGAAGAGTAAATTCAAAATCCAAAAATGGCCCGCCGGTCCCACTCAGTTGTGTGCGATTTTAGTCCGGCAAATCGAGTGGTATCGGCAGGCAATTCTAAATTTTGGATTTATGCTCATAATCGTTTGAAAAAACGTATATAGTCAAAATGTCAATGCATCTATCTTTCCTTTCACTCGGTTATTCGACAGGGAATAGGGCAAAACATCGTAGTAAGGCAAAGCAGCGTGAGGAACGATCACGCTTCTCAATAACAACCATCGGTCCCCACATTGATATTCATGGTCCCTGGTCGCATGCGTCCGGCCCGCGTCGCGGCACTGATGACAGCCCACACAATGAGCTTAGGGAAATACTACCCGTGGCATGGCGTTGTCCTACCGCGTGCTACCGCGCATGCGCCATCCTGGTACGTGAGACGAACATTACACCACGCCAGCAACGCACACCGGTCTCCCGCGGGCACTACGTTAAGCGCATCTTCACTATTCTTGTGTCTGTTCGGTCTGCGACTAGCTCCACGTTGAGATCCGCCAACCCACTCCACATGACCACACTCCACGTTTCCAACACCATTGCTTCCGCATGTCACGGCCAGCAGGGTCTGTGAGAGGCGCGTCCCAGCCCAGCCGGCTTCCATGGCGCGTGCGCCGAGCGATCATCATAGACATTGCTGACTCGCCTTTCGTCTACGCATCAGACCCGTGTCCAAATTATTCAGAGTATATGACATGTTAAGCTCTTGCATATGTCCCTCTTCATCGTGCAAATGCATATGTCGTGTTGTGATGTGGATGTACCCACTGGCAACGGTCCAAGGATATCCCAATTAATATGGAATGACCTGATAACGTGCGAAACAACACAATAATGCAATACCCATTTGGTGACCATATCGTGCGGCCTGTGGTGTTCCGCTGACCTTTACGATGATCGTCCGCCGCAGTAGGAGCCGCCCGCCCGCCCACCCTGTCTGCCACATTTTAGCCTGACCCTTCGGCAGCTCCGTCATTGGGGATTTACGGCGCGCTCAGCAGCTGAGTTGGTGCCGCTTGCCTCTCTCCGTGGCAGGAAGGGCACGCATTGCGGAGAACCGAACCTCTGCACCTCTGGGCGCGTTCGGCGGAGGGAAAAATATCCAACCAATAATTTCTCGCCCGACAACCATTCACGACGATTCTCGCTTTGAGTTTGGCATGTCCCAGGTTATCCTCCAATTTCGTATCACATGCGCCATGCACAGTCGCATCTTAACTTGCAGCCATAGATAGGCACAGCAAAAAAGGATTATCCGTTTAGACCACGTCCTGAACATCTCTCGGGGTTCTCTCTTAGCACGGAAATTAATTACCTGCGATAACTATCCCTGCTGGCGGTGCTGAACGCCATCCTGGAGTTTTGCAGCTTTCCGGGGTAATTATCTGAGATTACATGTCGGTCGAACACGCCCCTGGTTTTCCAAACGTGCAGCTGAGTCAAGGCACTATCCGTACTGTCTTGGGTGACTCTCAAGTGATACTCACTAGACCGACGTTACATGCATTATTAAATATGGTACATACGGTGTGTGTAATATGCCTACGTAATACAGCACATATCTTAGATGTAATATCATAGCTTGTAAGGCATATAACAGACAGAAAACGGTTGGCAAATACAGCAAATAATAATCATAATTATGTATATATATATATATATATATATATATATATATATATATATATATATTATACCGTTGACAAATATGACAAACGGTAAAGAGATCATACTGTTGTCAATGTGGTTTAGGTGTCTTTATGCGCGCTGAAATGTGACTGTATGTGGTTCCACGGTACGCATGTAATGGAAGTTGTCAGGTATGGTGATCTTTAAATATAGGCATAAACGTTTCATATAGTATACCCTTGAACATAACAAAGGACTGAACGTGGCATCTAATATAGGAATAGTACAGTTGCTGTGGTGCAAATGCACGGTATATTCCGATTCC